GCCAGCCTCCGCCGCCGCGGCGTCGGCGAGGAGCTGCGCGCGTGTGCTGAGTGCGTCGACGATCGCGCGCCAGATGTGCGACGGCGCCTCACCGAGCCCCGACCAGGGCACCATCAGCAGCAGCGTGTTGGCGAGGCTCCACACACCCACCTCGTTCGACAGCACCAGCAGCTGCAGCTTCGTGATGAGACCACCAGTGCCAGTGGTGCCTGCAGCCGCACGCAGCGCCCGCTCCACCATGACGTCCTCCTCGTTATTATTACCACTGCTGCCATCATTGTTTGTGGAAAGTTGTAGTGCGTCCTTCATCAGCTTTCCCACCACGAACATGGCGTTGCTGCTGTACAGCAGCTTCGCCTGTGGGTTCTGCTGAAACGCCGCCTCGTCATCCAGGTCGGGAGAGTTGTGGCTGCAAACGGCGTCCACGACAGCGTGCAGCACGCTCACCGCCGCCTGGTCGCAGCGCAGCCGCTGAAGGGCGCGGTTGATAAGCGCGGCGCGGAGTTCCTCCTGTAGCTGACACTCCTGCAGCAGCAGCGGCACCGTGCGCCGCCACTCACCGCGTGGCGGGTGGGCGTCAAGCACCGCCACAACGAGCGGCAGCACACGTGCGGCATTGACGGGGTTGGGCGCGGAGTTCACCAGCGCCCCCTGCACGTGCAGCGAGACCTCACACAGCTCGTAGAGAATGTTTTGCCTGGCCACCGCCAAGAGCGCGGCATCCTCCTCACCAGCAGCAGCAGCAATAACAGCAGCAGGAGGCACTGAGGACGATGACGACTCCTCTCGCAGCCACGTCATGATTGCCGCGGCGTCAAGGGCGCTGTTGAGAAACTCCTGGTGCGCGGCCACCACCTCCGCGGACTGAAGCAGGGTGGCGAGGGCGTCGTTGTCACCGCTCAGCACGTGCAGCACCCCGCCCGCGGCAACTGCCACCGCCGCCAGCAACTCCGCTTCGCGGCGTTTATAGTGCCTCAGCCACATAGCATTACCACTGTCGTCTCCTGCGGCGGGGAGGTACAGCTGCGATGGGTGCTGGAGTGCCTCCCACACGACGCGCGTCGTGGCTTCGAGCATCAGCAGCAGCGTTTGCACCACCGGTGGGGCGGAGAACGCCTCAGCAATGTGCTCACTACCCTCCACACAGACAGAGACAAGCTGCAGCACCTCCTCCAACGCGCGTGCGGCGGCCATGAAGGCTGTGCTTTGCATGTTGTTCCCGCTAGCATCGGCCTCTACATCCTTACCCGCGACGCCGTCGTCGTCGTCGTCCCCGTCGGTGCCCACCTTTGCCTCGGCGGCCGGCGGCACGGGCGGGGCGTCTTGGCGCGTCCGCTGCACTGTCTCCCACGTGGCTAGCAGGAGCGTCACCAGCCCGTCACGGAAGGCAAAGCCCTGCTGCTGTTGCCCTTCTTGTTGTTGTTGTTGTGCAGGATTGTTAGCAGGAAAACTAGTGGCAGCCAGTGCATCCACAACGGCGTCCTCAACGCTGTTCACGACAAAGTTCCGCAGCGCCTCCGCAGCGGCAGTCTGCATATACAGCACCCCACGATGCGGCTGTTGTTGCTGTTGCGGCCGACCCTCAGCGTGGCCGGTCGCCTCTCCCACCGGCGGCGTCAAGGTGGCGGTGGTCGATGTGAAGAGCACCTCGGCGAGCCGCTGTGGCAC